TCGTCAACATCCCAAACGGGACTCGAACTTAGATTGTATCACCATGCCAGACTGTCACAGATCATAAAATGGATGTGAATTTCAAGGAAGGCCAGGCCTTCTGGGGTGGGATTGTCGATAAAGTAAGTGTATTTACCATACCACTCAACCTCATTGCTTATTTATCGTTTCATAAGTGGGCTTTCTGGGCTTCCACTAGATCTGATGTAAGAACTACCAACGTATGAAACGATAAATATGTATGAAAATACCTTTTGCAAAGTATGTCCAAGTGTGAAATTCAATGTCATAATGTGGCTTAATCATGTGATTGTAGGGAAGTTTGAATAAACACTCCTTCTTCACCTAAAAGTAATCAAAATGAACACACCTTTTATATCAGATCTACTGGTAGGCTCGAATATTTGTTGGTGAAAGGAAAATTCAACTTTTTGCACATTCTTTATGCTGGGATTTTATGTGTTTATCCAAAAATGAAGCTTGATAAAAGTCCATATTTCCTTTAAATTCCCGTAATTGACTCATCGTGTGTACATTCTGAACACTTCCGCATATGTATGTCATCGGTCTCAGACACACGAAAACACACTCAAGTCTAGCTGTGAATGTATGCAAAACTTCTCAACTCCATCAGACGAAATTCTTTGCCGATTTCGATGCTTCTCTTGAGAGACTCGATAAAATGGTGTCAATATTTTGTAGATACGAAGCGAAAGTTGGTTTCGATGAATCTCCTGAGATGTTAGGGGGACCTTTTTATTTCGTATGAAAGCGCATCATATGATGGACATCATCAGAGCTGGGTGCGTCATTCTTGTAAAAGTCCTACATCTTAACGTTAACAATAGCATTTTCTACATATTTCTGTTGTCAAGTCTGCCACTACGACCTCAAACCCCATTTTTCCGGATTGTCCACAACAGAATCGACATATCCTCAACTACATGTCGCTATGACGGCCATGATGATGTGGTTTTTGCTTGATCCATACAGTCTTCTTGTGCTGTATGGTGTTGGGCTAAATCCGTTTTCGTTGTTGCCATGTTTTCCTTCAGCCGGAGACCGTCAACTGAGGCCATCCACACACGTCTTGAAATCGAGCTACAACTCGACATGGTGACTAGTCGACGATCCACCAAGACTGCGATACTGTGAGTCGGCATGGCAACAGGAAGATTGAAGTTTCCATGATGTCGTAATGAAAACAACGTTGTATAGCGTTGAAAGTCAGCGTTGGGTCTGTTGGCGCAACGCAGACAAGCTCGAAACTGTGGGTTGCTGGCAGAAGACTCGTTGAAATTCATCAACAAGAGAGAGCATTTTGATTGGGTTGATTGAGCCGGACAGGCGGTCCCAGCCTCGGCCAGATCCCATCAAAGGTCCAGGTCATAGTACCAAAGCTTTCTTCTCCCCCGTCGGCCAGACAATTAATCAGCTCCCACCCCTTTCATCTTTTCGCCACGATACTTTCCGGCCAATCAGATGCATCTCCACGGACCGGTAGACACGTCGCCCAACTGCAAGATGCCCCCGAATGTACTAATTGCTCGGGCAGCTGGTGGGCCTGTGGAGACGGGGCGGCCATCAAGTGCTGCCAAAAACAAGGAACCGTCACCAGCGATACCCCCAAACTTGTGAGTGTGCATAACAATTCGCGGGGCTTTGTTGGCCCCACGCGAATGCCGTTTGATCCGGTCCACCGGAGACCCTTGTCTGTCTGCTTGTCAAAAGTCTGTAGCGAAATGGCGAAGCAACAAGCGGTACGATTAATCATTTTCATCAGCCACCGCTGACCCTCACCCACATCTACGTCTCGTCATCCGACCACTGCACAAGCACACAACGACCCCCTCTGAGGATTGCTCATTTGCTTATTTATAATGTCCACCCCTTTCTCCCGGCTCCTCGACAGCCGCGCTTGTGGGGGTGGGGTCGGAGGAGAACGGGCTTCAACAGGAATGATCCTCGGCGGTTCGCTACGTCGTACCGAGGAGCACCCGTTCTGCGAGTCAACATATCCATTCTGTCAGATTCCCATTCACTCTGAGAATTTGAGGAAGGCTCTGGCTGCGATTGTGAAGGATTGGGACTAGCAATACCTCATTTGTGGCGGTTGCAAACTTGTTCTCCAATTCTTCTGCCAGCATTTTCAGCCTGTCGAATTTAATTGCCAGGTAAAATAATCCATGCTACTAATAATGATGTCAGTAGTAGCACAAAAGTACACCAGTAAGGCTCAAATTAGAGGCAATCTATTCTATTCTATTCTATTCTATTCTATTCTATTCTATTCTATTCTATTCTATTCTATTCTATTCT